TCTCTACTAAAAATACAAAAAACTAGCCGGGCGTGGTGGCGGGCGCCTGTAGTCCCAGCTACTTGGGAGGCTGAGGCAGGAGAATGGCGTGAACCCAGTAGGCGGAGCTTGCAGTGAGCCGAGATCACGCCACTGTGCTCCAGCCTGGGCAACAGAGTGAGATTCCGTCTCAAAAAAAAAAAAGAAAGTAAACTCATATAATGTAATTTTGCCTTATTTATTCAAAAGTCTAAAAGCATCTGGGAGACGACTGAATATCATTAAATGAAGTTATTGACTCTAAAATATATAATTAACTCCTACCTTGAAAATTATGATTGAGGATAAAATAACATAAGGGAATTCTGTATTTTATAGCATCCTACATCACACATTTCAAAATCGCTCTTACAGAATTATAAGTCTTTGTCAAAAAATAAAAATAAAATCCAGCCAAGCATTCATTCTACACTAGCACTCAGGTTTCTGCACAGAAAACATGAGATCCATGTAAGTAATTACCTAAAGGAGTTGGTGGCTAAGGCAGAAAAGAGATCAGGGCTGATGACATGATTTCACTGCTCTCAACCTTATTTTTTCCTCAGAATAAGAAATTATTTCAAATTCAGGTTTATTGACTTTTTTCTAGTTTTCTGTTATGTATCTTCAGACATAATAGGCAACATATTTAAATCACTTAATATATCAACATGTACCAATATTTAAATCACTTAATACATCAATGTGCAGAAAAACTTTTTCCAGGCTTTCATGACAAGCACAGTTCCACAATAAGGGCTGTGACCTCCAGACCTACATTGTCTCCTCATTAGTAAAACCTGATGCTGTGGGTCATCTTACAGATGAGCCTTTGTGGCTGAGGTAGGTTTCCTTACTCGACTACAATCTATTTGCTATTTGTTTCTTCACATAGCTTTTACCCTAGAGTGCTAGAAGAGAGAAAAGCAACAGCGACAACAAACTGACAACCCTGAGTTGTCCTGCAGTCACATCAGTGAGTTTTAACAAGGAATTTTCACATTGTCAATTCATTTACAAAAAACCTAGTGGGGAGTGGTGGCTCACGTCTGTAATCCCAGCACTTTGGGAGGCCAAAGCAGGCAGATCACTTGAGGCCAGGAGTTCGAGACCAGCCTGGGCAATATAGTGAAACCCTGTCTCTACTAAAAATACAAAAATTAGCCAGGCGTGGTGGCACGTGCCAGTAATCCCAGATACTCAGGAGGCTGAAGCACGAGAATCGCTCGAACCCCGGAGGTGGAGGTTGCAGTGAGCTGAGATCACACCACTGCACTCCAGCATGGGCAACAGAGCAAGGCTGTCTCAAAAAAAAAGAAAAAAAGCCTAATTAGCGTTTGATGATGTGTAAAGCTGTGCTTCTCAACAGGGAATGAGGCAATTATTCCCCCAACACAGGAGACACTTGTCAATATCTGGAGACATTTTTGGTGGTCACACATCAGGGGTGCTACTGGCACATAGTGAGTAGAAGCTGAGGATGCTGCTTTCCACCCAACATTGCACAGGACAGCTCTCTACCAAAAAAAAAAAAAAATTATCAGTACACAATGTCAGTAGTGCCAAGCTTGAGAAACCCTGATAGAAAGATGCAACCAAAGTTAAAAAAGGAGAGGAAAAGGCTGAACTTTTAAAATGTACTAAACAAGCTTATTAATTGTTTTAATTTGAAGTGCTTTTCTTCTAAGGGTTCCCAAACTTGAAGTAAATTGTCAAATCACCAGAGGATCTTCCAAGATACATAGGTGGCAGGCCTCCTCAACACTCTACCTCATACATTGGGAAATGAAGAAAAAATTACTTCACCCACTTGGCTAGGACCTGTAGAAATCAGGGTTGTGAAGACCCATTAAAATGCAGTACTCAAGATTCTTCCACATGGGAGGCATCATAAAGTAAATTTGCTATGCAGCAAGTGTGTCTCATTAGAAAAGCATTTTTAACCTCATGTTTAATTAATGAGAAGACCAAATATTGGAAATTTTAAAGGCTACTAACTTCTAAGAAATTAATTTTACACAATTGTAATTTTAATTTGTTTCCTTTAATTCAAAAATCCTTTATTGAACAGCTGGTATACTGAAGGTACCTGCTAGGCAACAAAAATGAATCCAAAATAACAAGACATTGCTCATATTTTCAGTGAGTTCACAGTCTTACAGATGTAAAAGAAGGCAAGGAACCAACCAATTGCAAGAGGGTGCTATGTGATATGACAGAAATATGTGCAGGGTGCTAAATACAGAGAAAATACAGAGAAAAAGAAGATTTAAATCAGCTGGTGGTATTAGTAAGTTGTCAGAGGGACAACACTTAAATGGCCTTGTAGAATAAGCAAGAATTAATCAGATAGACTAGTGGAGAAGGGTGTTGCAGGCAGACAGAACAGCATACATAAGAGTGGGGAGTTGGGAAACAGCCGGGCTCAATGGGGAAGCTGAAAGACAGTCATTGAAGGCAGAATCCTAAATCTCTGTGGTATGATGGTGGAAGATGATAGTGGAAGACAAGGGAGATGCCAGACCTTAAGGGACATGAAGACATGCCTGTGCATTGAGAGAGCTTCTGATGGGCTTTAAAACAAGAATTGAATCACCATGCTCATATTTCAGAAAGAAAACTATACCACCAGTGTGGAGGATGAACCAAAGGGGAAATAAAAATGAACAGGAGGCAATGGAGTCAAAACATAACTTGGTAAGTAGAATTGCCAAGAATTGGTTGAGTCTAGAATGACTCCCAGTTTCTGGCTGGAGCCAGTGCTGCCCCTAACTATCAACAAGAGGAAATGGAGCAAGAAGCAAGAGGAGGTTTGGCAGACTGAGATGCTGAGTTCCCCTTGGGGAGTAAGCTCCTTAATGGCAGGAGTCTTATCTTCTGCTCACTGTTGTGGCTCCCCACACCTATGAGATACTCAGATGAATATTCACTGAGGATTTTTATTTTTCTTTTTCTGAGTGGGAGTCTCACTCTGTCACCCAGGTTGGAGTGCAGTGGTGCAATCTCAGCTTACTGCAACCTCTGCCTTCCGGGTTCAAGCAAATCTCATGCCTCAGCCTCCCGAGTAGCTGGGATTACAGAAGTGTACCACCACATCCACCTAATATTTGTATTTTTTTAGTTGAGACAGGGCTTTGCCATGTTGGCCAGGCTGATCTCAAAACTCCTGGCCTCACATGATCCACCCTCCTCAGCCTCCCAAAGTGCTACAGGAGCCACCGCACCCGGCCTCACTGAGTATTTTTCGACATGGGTCTAGAACTTAGGGGAAAAGTTCTGGACATAGAATTTAATAAATTTCCAGAAAGTAGATCTAGGGCAACACCTTAGAAAACAGTTAACCATTAAAGGAGTAAGGAAATAGATTAATAGAAGACCACAGGACAAAAAAAAAAAGAGATTGAGAAGCAATGAGAGCAATGGAGGGGAGAATGATATAATGGAAGTCAAAAAAGACAAGGAAATATTCAACTTTGTCAAATGACAGGAGAAGGTCAAGTAACATAAGGACTCCAGACACCTCAGTGTATACATAAGACATCCATCATGACCAAAACCCACTAATTATGTACATAGTAACCTATGTTTCCAGATTTTATGGACACTCGACACCCTGGATTTAGAAATTTAGAGGTCACTGTTTCCAAGAACGTCTTTAAGGAGGCATATTGAGAAAGAATGGGATAAGGCATCAATGCAGCATGAGAAAGTACAAACGTGAAGGCCGCATTATTTGTTCACGATGTTTTGCTGAGAAGGAAGGAGAAAACTAGGCTGGTAGAGGGCAGTGTAGAGTCCAAGGAACAGGACATGGTTTTGTAGCTGCATTACATCAGGCAGCTCCATGCGGGAAGCTACCGCTTAGCTCGCGGGTGCTGCTGTACTTACTCATTCTTCACAAAGGCGTGCTTGTTGATGGTCTCCACAACATCTCTGAAGAGAATTTTTGAAGTGAGAGTGTAACCATGATGTACTACTGGCTCTCCATCCGGGCCATCCCAACAGTCAACTGCCAAAAACAGAACTTTATATCAACAACCCAAAGTCTCTGGTGTTTATTAATATTTCTGGAAATACCAGACACATATTATTTTAAGTCCATTATATGAAATTATACCCATTTCAATCCTGAAAAAGACATGACACAGATACAGAAATTGGTGTTCTGGCATATTTATCAGAACAAAGAATTAAAGACTTGCTTTTCCTCAAGACACAATGATTTGGTTTTGAGTGTGGTTAAAAAGATATCATATTCTTAAACAGCTCAGAATTCACCAAAAAGTCATTAGAAGTTAACTAAATCCAGTCAAGTGTGCCCAAGAATAGGGAGATTTCTTCAAAGGTCATTCATCCAATTTCACTTCTTCTTCTTCTTCAGGTTATGAAGGTCTTTTAGAAAGTCACAGTGTCCTTCTCAAATTAATAATATAATTTTCGTTATTGTTCACTTAAGCTCACAATGTTTTCATTAGATTGATTTCCATTTCACTAATACTACAGCAGTTATAAAACAACATCGACTTCCTAAGTTTAAATCCTCGAGCCCTGCCAAGATTTACGTGAATTTGGGCAAATGACTTAATCAGTTGAAGACTTGCTTTCCCCGTCTAGAAAAGGAGAGTAACAGCACTTACATCATAAATTTGAGTGACAGTTAAGTACATGTAAAGTAGCTTGTAACACTGCATGGCACATAGTAACTATGATTGTCATTGATACTATTCATATTGCTCTTTACTCACACAATCTTATTAGCTCTCAGCTGGAGAAAGATAGCAGGTTTTTCACCATCCCCCTCTGACTAAGAATTTGCTTTCTCTTGTTTTTATATTCTGCCCCCAGGCTAATTCCTCAAAACAGTACTTTCACCGCATTGCTCCTTTGCTCAAAAGCCTACTTGGTGCATAGCACAGCATTCAACACAGAGAAGTAGTCTGTAAATATATGCTAAACGGATTAATAAATATCTTACATCATACAGCAGCTCTTGCCTGCTTACCTCCAATGCCCCTGTCTCTTGTGCTAGAGATTGGCCAGTCATTCACTAGCCCTGTTTCTTCTTTTACCGAGGGAACACAGCTGGACTCTATTTCCTAGCCTTCCTTTGCAGGAGGATGTGGCCAGTGAAATGTGAGCAGAAAGTATGTGCACCACTTTCAGGTATGCCTGACAGAAACCTGCTGCCTTACATAATTCATCCTCTTTCCTCTTCTGCTGTGACTTCAGAAGCGGTGAAGATGACACAGCCACGAGATGGAAAAAGACAAAACTGCTTGAGAGATTTGCCCGCTAGGAACACCTATTTTGAACTTCACATAATCAAGAAATAAACTTCAGTTGTTTTAAGGCACAGAAAATTTGAAGTTTAATTGTCAAAAGGACAATGTTGCCTTAATTATCATGCTAGCTCCTGTCTGATAATTCAATCTTACCCTCTCCTACACCCAATCTCACAGGCTTGTTCTTCTGGTTAGGCAAATTTTCTTACATACAGTCCCACCTCCATGCATCTTTGTTTCTTTCTTTTAAAGTCAACTGACATATCCCTTTCTCATTTTGCTTATCTAAATCCTAATCAAGGCAAAACTAGGATGCTCCACAGAACCTCACTAGCCCACAGGATCTCTCTCTTCCTTACGGCAAGAGGTCATCCTCTCAAACACCACCAAGAGCCTAGCAGTTAATATAAATAAGTGCAGCAGCTCAATGGGAAATGTGTGCCTGAATGAGGTAACTACTACTTACTGTCAATCATTACTAAGTGGGAATAAGAACCTTGGTTGCCAGATCTTCTGAGGAAACTAAAATGTCTAGATTTTATTGTTGTGTGTTTTCCCAATTTTTAAATACTGGCAATTAATCCATTTTTAAAACTACAATATGAGTCAAACATAAACATTTCTGCAAGCTGAATTTGCATAATGGAATGCTGATTGAAAGTCTGCCTTTAGAGTTCGAGACCAGCCTGGCCAACATGGTGATACCCCTTCTCTACTAAAAATACAAAAAATTAGCTGGATGTAGTGGCAGGTGCCTGTAATCCCAGCTACTCAGGAGGCTGAGGCAGGGGAATCGCTTGAACCCAGGAGGTGGAGGTTGCCGTGAGTTGAGCTCCTGCCATTGCACTCTAGCCTGGGCAACAAGAGCGAAATTTAGTCTCAAAAAAAAAAAAAAGAAAGAAAAGAAAAGAAACTCTGCATTTAATTAGGACCACACAGTTCCGAACTACATATGTTATCTGTTTCAGTAGCACCTTCCCCTCCCTATATGTGTGCTTTGTATATTACCCCAGGAGATGATATCTCTGTTTTTCTTCTAAAACATTCAAAATGTTCACCATAATCATAATGTGATTGTAATGGTTAATTTTTCATGTCAATGAGGCTTGGCTATGATGCTGAGTTATTTGGTCAAACACCAGTCTATATGTTCTGTGAAGA